CCCTATAACTCTTCTGCCAACTTTGGCTCGAAACCCTGCCTAACACATCCATCTGCATCATTTGCCAAAGTGGTTTGCCTGCCCAGTGTAACAAGATCCAACAGGTCAACTCTCTCAAAGGTCAAACAGCCTGGGAGTGTGTGGTTGCCAGTCCCCACAAGATCCAACAGCGGCATTGCTCAATGGGACTAGCTCCCATTGTTTCAACATGGCCAGTTTGTTTGGCTGCTGTTGATTGCTCAGTGCTTCAAAGTGTATCAGACTTTTTCAGCTGATGCACCACGCTGGTTTGCCAGGGTTAGGATACAAGTACCATACTGGAAAAGCCACTGACTGGTATCATTAAAGTGCACAGCCATTTCTCATAGAACAAAAAGTGCAATACTGCAAGCCATGGAATTCATACGCTAATTGATACTTCTGGATACAACTTTCTATTGGTGGCGGTACATGCAATACCACAACAAGTTATCGGTCTGCTTAAACAGTGTATCTACAGTGTAAAAAAGAAAACTGCACTTTCAGGGATTGTGTACCATTGCGGGACCCTTCATTTTCAAACTGAAATATCTGCCAACATCAAGTTTAACATGTTTTTTAGAAGCTTGGAGTTACGTACTCACAAATATCCTTTGATAGTCTGGGGCAGTATAGCCAAGAACTTGCAATGAGCCATTTCCAATATTTGCTGTGTTGCACATTTTCACATGGCGATAGAGTTCCAATGTATGATGTCTCCGCTCGCTTAGCACTGCACATTTGACCCATTTCTCCCTAAAACTGGAAATTTGCAGGATGAATGCTCAGCAAATATCTAAATATGCGTAGTTGTTAAAAAATAATATATTGGCATGTCTTACAGGCATACTACAACACGGTACATGTACATGTCAACACAGCATTTTACATGGAAATTTTTGGACTTTGAGATCGGGATGCCATTTCAGTTTTCACCTACGTGTAGGCTGAGTGACGTCATGAACATACATGAATTATTCACTGAAAGGCTCAAACAAAGCTGTTGATTGGCTCCTGCGGAAAGCTAGAGGGAAAGAAATTAAAACCACAAGCAATGCCGAACAAAACTATGCAAGACCTATTTCTTGGTGGCCCACAGGGCCAGAGGGAAGTGCACTGTAATGGCCCTCATGAAAATTATGACGACTTACGCAAATGCTGTCTTGTGTTGTAAGTCACATTTTAAGTGTCATTTTGCCAACTTACACGTACACATGTATTGCCTATGTACGTGTACATTATGATTCCTTGCACTAATTCAATGGCTTTGATTTCTCCTAGTTTATTTCTACCTCCGTGGTGGGTCCCAGCAAATTCCTCCTCCATTATTATACTGCAAATTCAATAATTAATCATGTGTCCTTAAGGACGAAGCAAAGAGGGTAAGTTCGAAGCAGAATCCTGGTCAAAAAGATAGTTTTTTTTTAAACGGAATGCCTTTTTTCAAAATCGAACTTTTTTTTTTAAGAATCGAGTGTTCTTTGAATGAATGTCATTTTAAAAAGATCATATTTTTAAATTTGTATTTTTTTAAATGTATTTTTTAAAAAACTGAACAAAATTTTAAAGATGCAATACATGTTTTTTAGATTCAAATGAATTTTTAAGAGCAGATGAATTTTCTAGATTGGAATAAATTTTTATAGGGTGAACATGTTTTCAAAATTCGAATCAGATTTTACAAATCCAACATTTTCTCAACATTGGAACGATTTTTAAAGTCCAAACATTTTCTAAGATTGGAGTAAAATTGTTGACTCTAAATATGTTCTAAACAAATTGGAACACTTTTCTAAACGTAAAGCTGTCATTCGACGCACACATTTACCCGAAATCTCATTTCATCCGAATTGAGAAAGCATCCGAAATGAGAAAACATCCACATTGAGAAAGAATCCAAATTTCTAAAACTTCCGCGTTAAAAAAATATCCAATCTTTTTGACGGTGTTCAGTCCGAAGTTCCGAACCTTTTTTATGCTTGTTTGCATTTTCTTCGGTTGGGAAGGAGGGTTCATTCCATCAAGAAAGCACCACATAATAACTTACCACTGAAGCAAGATTGTAACTGTGGGGAACTTGAATTGAAAGCACATGGATCAATGTTTTACTAATGCCAGGCCAATATTCAGCAGAAAACTTCCGAGCCCACTGCAGACACCCATATTTGTCAGTCAAACTTCTCAGTTTTTAGAGTATGCAGTGGCCCGCTGACTTTATCGGTGGCCCAAAGGCCGCAGCGGACCACAATTAAGTTAGGCTGTCCTGGCCTTCTATTGCCAAAATATATTAGATAACCTCAATGCAAATAGAATAGTGACCTGAATTTTAGCGGCATACCAAGCAAGCAGGAACGTGCAAGTTGCATACTGTGCAAGGCCTACAATGCAACTTAACGAATATGAAAGCCTGAGGAGGAAATTTTTGAGCTCCAAGGTACATGTAAGAAACTTCCTGCAAGGAGCCTCTGCAACTTTGGCATTTATAATCTCTAATGGTAAATTTAATATTACGGCATGACCCATTTAGCTAAGAACTCTGACACTTAAAGTAAAGTGCTGTTATTAAATTACACGCCGGGCATACTGGTACCTTTTAAGGTACAATTCTGCAAGAAACACTTTCAAGACCGGGCCAAAAAGGTTACAGAGGGTACAAGTATGTATGCATACACCACAAAAAGCTTACTTTAGGGTGCTGAGTTACCAGATAAAGTAACAACCTACATGTACTTTAACAGATATACCAGTAATGGGCAGGCCATTACATCATACATGTATCACATTCTGACCAATCACAAAGTCTCTAACCTGCAAAGGATTGTGTTTGGTTCCATGGCATGGCATGCTTTGCATAAGGAGTGCAGTGTATCAAGCAAAAAACCTGACTAAAGTGTTCCATGGCAGAAATTTGATTGGTTGAGCTCCAAAAATTGGCAGTACAGGTAGTAAGCAGCATTATAAAAAAAAATGAGGAAACCTGTAAAGCTGAACTGTTTAGAGCGGACACGCCATGCGATAGGGCACAGAAGCATTGTATATTTAGAAAGCTGAGTGGATTTTCTCACAGATATATATACTGCATCGAGCATGTTCTGGCCAATCAAATGGCTCATTTGGTATGATGTCACGGACTGACTAGCCTGGCCAACTGCTTCCTTGTGCCTTCCATTTCATCCCGTGGGGAGTTACTGCTATTGCAGGAAGTCAGTTGTCGGTTCACAGAGCGATTTCCACCTTGTGTGTACACTGTAAATCATCAGGTTGCACACTGTTTACCCACAGGGCATTTGGTTGCTGTTTGTCTCTTTAAATGGGCTCCGTGGCGATTGTGTTCAAAGTCATGAGGAAGAGACGATAAACAAGGACAACTCCACCTTTACAAGAGTTCATTTAAACAGCTTGTGGCCTGACTTGACAATGAATGACTAGCGACGGACTTATCTTGTTACAGACTCAACTGCAACACTGATAAGGAATTAGGCAAGACATCCACACCAAGACAACCAATCGGCAAACAAAGTTACCTCAGGTTACAGAGTCAGCTGACCGCTATCAATCAATCGCTGGAGCTTGTTTCTATCGGTGGTTCCACTCGATTAGCATGAACATTACCTGCACCCTTAAAAGGCACATTTTACAATAGGAGTAGGCCGACGACAGGCCACGTCAGAAATGACTTGGCTATGGCTTAAAACAACACAATTCTATGACAGTGGCTACAGCTGCCATCCATGATGTCATGTGTAATTTCAAGCTGCAGTCAAGCCATTCAGATTTCTACTGTACACAACCAGCCAAATTCTACTTACGATATTTGCCTGCCGTGCTTCTTCTATGTAGTGAGTTGTCAAGATGATGGTGGTGTTCCATTCTTTTGCAAATGCCAGCAAATGTTCCCAGATCCTGTCGTGTTTACAAAAGGAAAAAAACAAACCGCTGATAATCCATTCTGGGTAATTCAAATTCAAATTTGACACACAGCAAGAAATATAAATGCTAATGATGTTAATGTTCGGTGAACATCTCTGCTACGAGGTCTCTGTCGTGGCCGGATGTGAGAAAGAAGTGCCATTTTAAAAGTAACTGGTGGGGTTTATACAAAAATATGTGGACAAAGTTTATGGGGCTTGATTCAGGATGAAAAAGAGAAAAATTAAAAAGAGAAAAGTGCAAAACGGCTTTATAGACATTATTAATGTTTAACTTGAAACCTCTACTTTTTAGATGGTCCCTAAAGACGGGAAGGTTTGACAGGAAACACTGGCAACTAATAACACACACACTAAATATGCATGCTCTTTACCTGATTCGGAGTAAGGGATCCACTCCAACTGTTGGTTCATCCAGAATGAGTAAAGGTGGGCTCTGCACCAGGGCTGCGGCAAAGGACACGCGACGCTTCTGGCCTCCACTAAGTGGGCAGGGCATACAAAGTGAGGGTATGCAATAAAGACGGTACCTCCAAGGGAAAGTCATTACTGCTGTAGTGTACTCCAATGCAATTGAACAGGTTCAAAACCTTGTTTGGTTTGGGGAAAAGATATAAAACCTAACTGGCTTGCAGATTGTTACCATAGTTATTACTGCAGAACATGGTGGTGACCACAGTGGTGACTAGATTATATCTATGGCTATACCCAAAGTACTTGGCTGCGGCTGAAAATGACACACATGTCTATGGAAAATGCATGAAGCCGCAAGCTGGGGGTAATACACAGGAGCATGTGTTATTTCCTTAGCCACATAATTCTGACATGATTTCTGTCAAGGGCTTACTGGCACGCAACTCACAAGCAATTTTTGAAGTATTTTGGAGGCTGCAGCGGCAAACGAGATTGCTTCAATGATTCTTTTCTTAATCATCTACATGATCTCAGTCACTTCTCATGAATGTTACCCAAATTCTAAAATAGCATACATAATCTGTGATGTTTCTATGAATGTTTATAGTCCTATCTTTCCTTCTAAAACGTGCACTTTAATCTCACAGGTGCACCTGAAAATCCATCGAGATTTGTGTGTAAAAACATTTCCTAGTATTGTAGCTAAGAACATCACAAAACCTGACACAAGACCAAAACACCAGACTTCTAACAAGACCAATCAAAAGACCAATCACAAGTTACAGGTGAAAGGATGACAAAGGAATGCTTTTGTTGCAGTTCATGTGACTAGCTTGTGACTTGAATTCAGATCAGAGGTCTTGGGTTGGTCTTACGGTGGTCTAGTGCAACCTAGTGATGGCCCTAACAGGTCTTGATGACAATAGCATTTCCATCGCATCAAAAATTCCACCTACAGTTATGACTGCAGTGCATGCTGCTATATTGGATTCCAACAGGCTGAATGATACCCTACAAACCCAGTGCTGGAGTGGTTAAGACTACTGCACAGGTGAAGTAGATTGTTCAGGGTTCGAGTCTCCTCCGAGAAAGCTTGCTCTTGGGAAGCACTCAAAAGCACAGTGCTTGATGAGATTAATACAAGGGCTGAAGTTAATGCCCAATTTTTCAGTAGTACCTGAGGTTCCTGATCATGGAGTCCATGGACGGAAGGTCCAGCAGGTTGATCAGGAACTCTTTCCTCCCTTGCAGGACGTCCCTGGGCATGCCATGGATGGTGCCGAAGTAGTTGAGCGTCTCGCTGATGGTGAAGTCTTCATACAGGGCTGTTTCCTGCATTTTGAAATGAAAATATAGTTACAGAAGGAACCAATACGGATTGAGTGAAGTCTTCACGGTTGTGAAGCAAAAAGGCCTTCTGCGATTTTGAAGTTTAAAATCGCAATGATGTAGTTGTATGTGGGCCATCATCTGGGAAAATGAATATTCCTTTCACAAATTGTGAAAAATTTTCCCCTCCAAGGGAAAAATTTTAATATTTCTTCCCCTATGTGAAAAAGAAGTTGGACCATTTTTCACACCTTTTTGCACCATTGGAAAAAATGTTCACACTGTTTTGTCAAAGCGGGAAAAATTTCACAGTTTTTTTTTTCACAAAGGAAAAAGTTTCACACGTTTTTCATGAATGTAAAAAGGAATTCCTTTTACAATTTTTCAGGTCTTTTTCACAGGGTTAAGTTTCAATTGTGATGTACTGTAATGCAAACCTATGGTACATAATTGCAGCAGCAACCACATACAATAAGTCAAGAATATTGAATTTGGGATTCAAGCAAGCAAGAGCAAAAACTTCTTGCGCACTTCTGAGTTACGCTGTTAACGTTAGTAAAACTTGTATGTGCATCTTTTCTAAGTTTCTTTATTGCGTTCCTGGAATCCAAACTTTAACCAGCATTCTATTTTAATCCAACAGCCAATTCACAAGGGTTGACCACAACTTTCACTGCAAATGTTGGGCGGCCCCCCAAATTCACTTCGTTTTTGAATGAGATATAGTACAGGAATGCTGGGTCCAATCAGTGGGTCTGCCCCAAACAACTCAAAGCCGTGCTGCACTAGAGATAAATCCTGAATGAAATCTGCACAATCAATTATCCTTTCTAACGAACCTGTGCAAGGATGCAAAAGATTTCTTTCAGGTTGACAAACGCTGCAACTAATTCGTAGGAGATCTAGACATAAATTCTCGGGGGGGGGTGGAAGGAAAATTGTTTTTGAGGGACAACAATTATTTTCAATTCAACCTTTGTGGCCTTTCTGTGGGGTCGATTGAGGCAAACTTTGGTGACTTTTCCACACTTGGAAGAAAGGGATTTAAGAAACAGACCAAAGGACTGTGCATTTCTCATATGGACTTTCTTAACCCCTTCGCACTGGGAAGCGGTAAGAGCCGCCGTAAAAATTGAGATCCCTCAGCCCGCTTTTCAGCTATTATTCTCGGCCCACGCTCGAGCGAACACGGTGAAAGAAAGCATACCCTAGCTCTTGTATATATGGTAATTTGTGTTTGTGCGGAGCCCAGAAATGAAAAGACCGATTTTGCATCATAATCACCAACTTCACAATAGTTCCCACTTTGAAAAGAGGCAACGGGAGAGCCGCATGCCACAGAACAATGAGCCTTTTCACTGTGTAATTCAAAGCGTGCAGAGCATGCAGGGCCACAAACCGAGAATTTGCGGTTTGGCAGGTAGCCTTTGTGGCCAAGCGAGGCTGGAATTCTCGGAGTGAGTTTTCTCTCGTTTGGGATGAGGTGATGTTATTACCATCCCCTCAACCCATCGGGATCCGCCCTTAAACATGTTTAACATACAGCATGCACTCATTACTCACACCTGATCTGAGAAGTATGGTCCATGCGCGTGTACTACGGATATTCAAAGTGTACAGGGTAATGACAAACGATCCCTGCGGACAGACATACCGTACCTGAGGCATGTACCCGACCATGCTCCCTGGCACCCCGTGCCCGATGGTTCCCGGCAGCTTGCCCAAGGTCCAGATGGTACCATGGTCCATGCTGAGCCTTCCCAGGATGCACCGCAGGAGTGTGGTCTTGCCGCACCCACTAGGGCCCAGGAGGCCATATCTGTACACCACATGGGCACAGAGTTATGGGAATTAAGTCCTTCATTAATACAATTAGCAAAGTCAATAGCCATTGGAATTATACATGTACATGTCTGTATGTGTGTCCAACCTACATGTATGCTAAAGACAATCACATATCCATGAGGGATCTGTTCTATTGACAACAAACGGCTAAATGAAAAACTACATTCCTTTGTTGTTGTTGCCTGCACAATTTTTCCTGACTTGATTCCTGCACCTTTTGTATTCAGTTTTCACAAATTTTGCAAACAAGATTTGACTATGACTTGTTTTTAAGCTCATATCTTGCTTAGTAAGTGAGAGCAGTTTTGGCCACAGAAGGATCCACAAACAAGTCAAGAAATTCCACTGGCCATCTTGGACGCATCCATTGTATGGGCCCTCTGTACAAAACCTAAAAACACCCATCATTCTATTCTGATCTGCTTCAGTAAATTCCTCAAAATAGCGTTGCACACCAATAAAGGAAAATAAACTTTCAGCTGTATGTATACATGTTCCGCTATCTTATCTGCATTTATTGCAATTGTTTTTCAAAATGTGCCAATTGGAGGTTTGTCACCTTCTTTGTGCATCGTCCCATGGACTCACTCATTTTTGAGTTCCCTGCTTTGAGAAAAATCACGAAAAATGCCATTCATTTCTAACACTCAAACAAATTGTAGCTTGTGTTATTGTCTTGCAAAAGCTCCATCCATAGGCCACAAGGCGTTCCTAAGTGCCTGAATAATGCACAGGTGCAGATCAAAGATGGCCTTCCACACGTGACATCACCCATGTCAAATCTGCTGAAAATGAGATTTATGTGCATAGTGCATACAGTGCTTGCACAGTGCATTCACCATTACATGCAATTCCCGCATGGTGTACATATGTACATGAGTAGACACTTTGTATTCTCATGGTCACTGAATACACACCAGGAAGACTGCCCTGCAAGATGTACAGCACAAAGTCACTCTAGACATAGTAGGCCCTATGTAAGGGTTCCATAGTGACACGGATGTTTGACTAAAAAAATCACAAAATCTGTTCATGTAGAAGACAAAAGATGAAATTTAAATCTCAGCGAGACCAAGGGCCTGTTTGTTTCACAAGGATCTGCATTGTGATCCGTGATCTTTATGCTGGTTTGCATCATCCATTGGCCGGGTTTTAGTGTCTGTCAACCAACAATGGATCATTGATTGTGATCCAGATCTCTGTGACACAAACACTGCCTAATACTTACATGCTTCCCTGAGGTACAAACATGTTCAGGTTCTGCAGAACGTCCAGACGGTGGGCGCCCCGCCCATAATGCTTCTTGATGTTGATGCACTGCACAGCAGCAACAGAATCATTATCTCCCGCCATTTTCTTTTCTTAAAAAAAAAATCCAAAGAGTCAAGTCATCGAGAGTCTGTGAGGTCATACATGACTTCAGTGTCAAGCGTTCATATTTGGAAGCAAACACAGAGCTGAGAACTCATAATGGCTTGACAGGTGTATCAGGTTGGAATCGACAAATTTGATGATTGTTCACAACGTGAGTAGAAGGGAAAATCGTTCTCTACTTCCTGAATATAGGCCTATTAACTTTACCACATCACTGGAATCTCCAATTCCCACTGAATCCTACCATGTCCTACAGCCGGCATGGTGGGTGCATTCCATGCCTTCTTGGTGAAGTTAGATGTCTGATGGGAAATATCCTCATTTAAAATGATGAAATTTCTGAATATTATGCCCATCCACACTACAGAAACTCAGCAGCATGCACAGCCCCAGAAGTGGCCTACGGTACGCAGTGCTCCCCACCTGCCCAGATGTCGAATTTTGTTGACTTTTTCAAGTGCATCCAAATGAAAGATTTTTCAAGATCGGAGGTGATTGATGTACATGTATGCCATACCCTCTCCGCTTCTGGATCAATCCATCACTACGTAATCTTACCTCCTACTTTTCGAGAAATTTTGAGCTCATTTTTGGACTTCATCCATTTGTGCACATTGATGTTAGCAGCTCGAATCGTGCATGGTGTCAAGTTTGTGACCCCCGAACCCTGACCTCACATTATACAAATAAAGCACCAGGAGTTGAGATGCGACGGCTGTTTCCTGTTTACCCAGGCCTAAACTACCCACTGCTATGGGCTGGTGGTCATGGCGTGCCGAGACTGCCAGACCATGCTGCGCAGTGGGAAATGTCAGGTATATATACATGTAAATTATGCTGATTTTCATATGTTTCCAATGTGACATGTGCAAATTAATAAAGTTGACGTTATGCGTGATTTGAGCTGTCAACATCAATGTGCATGAACGCATTAAGTCCAACAATGAGCTCAAAATGTCTCGAAAAGTAGGAGGTAAGATTACGTAGTGATGGATTAATTCAGAATGGCAGAGGTTATGACGTACATCAAGCATCTCCAATCGTGAAAATTCTTGCATTTCGATGCGCTTGAAAAAGTCAACAAAAAATTATTATATGGGCATGTGGCTGTAGGGGAGTGCAGCGTACCGTTACTTCCAGAACTGGAGGATTAATACAAGCCTTACAGATGGATACATGGGTAGCTACGTAAATAGTCAAATCCGACATGATGCTTCTTCGGTTTGGATGATATTTCCATGCCGTTACACTGATTTTTCCCCTATAATTTCATGAGGTCTCCCGGAATACAATTTGATATGGGATGGGGGGGGGTTTCATTTACAGTTTACCATTTAAAATGGTGAAATTTATGAGAATTTTCCTTACTCACACCCGTGTCCATGACTGCCTGCCTAGCTCACTCGGTCATGACCAAAAATATGTCAAAAAAAACCATTTTACCAAGGGCAAAGACGGGACTTTTGAGTTTTTGTAGCGGAGGACTGAAATTTACCCCCAAAATAGCTCTGGATGATGGAGGCTACACCCCCCTTAAGATTTTTTTTTGTCGACTAACATATTTCCTCTACTCCAAGGACTGTTTCCAGTGCGTGTCATGTGTTGTCCAAACAAACATCCCATCCACACGACGTATGAAATAAAAGATGAGCTGTAGTTGGTGAATGTCATCAGCACACCATTCACCCAATAGAAATTTGTCTTTCATTTGAGAGCAAAAGGAACCTCAATTAAAAGAGATGGAAGCCACATTGTAATTGGTGAAGCTGCCACACTGCTGACAACAATGACCTTTCAACTGACACGACCACGACCGAGTGAGCTAGGCAGGCAGTCGTGGACAAGGGTGTGGGTAAGGAAAATTCTTATAAATTTTTTACCATTTTAAATGGTATAGGCCTAATGTAAATGAACCTACCCATCTCATACAAAAATGCATCCCGGGAGACACCTACAAAAGGGCAGGATATATATCCAGCTACCCTATGCAGACAACAATACAAACAGTACCATATCAGTCTTGCAACAATGAAAGAGGTAATTGTATTTAAAGGTTTTAACTCTCAATCATTCAGAAATTACCATACTATATTAGTACCCTCGTAAGCTCATGCACGATTTTTAGGCCTCCTTCCGGCACCTCCTCCTGATAAGGAAGCCAACTGCAAAGATACCCTTAGTCAGGCACTGCTACAGAAGAAACAGTAAGAGGTAGCGTTCAATGCTTGTTAAGTTGGGTGCCATCCCAAATCAGATTTCGGCAAGAGAGGGCGCTTCATAGCCACCACTCCGACCAGCTGATGGGGGGGGGTCTCGGTCTCAGGATTCGTCTGATTGTACCCCTGGCTTTGGAGTGGTTAGTTCAATCATAAGACGGTGCCACTGGAATATGGGCCTATGTTAAATAGTGACAAACCATGACGTCTTCCTGTTTAATTAATTTGGAAAAAAAATCGGGGATCGATTCTAGAAAGGATCACAAGACGAAGACTATATCCGGATAAATATTTGAAAAACCGCCCTACATGTACTTTTCTTTTGTTTACAAACACATTGCTATCATTTAGTACGAGCAGCAAATCTTTGAAAAATGTTCACTCATTCATTCTAACTAGGTTAGCAGAACTGTACTCATTATTTAGTGTTTATTTTTACTCAAACGTTTTGAAAACTTTTGCCTAGAATGTGATTAATTTTATGCTTTTGGTTATGTACTCTCCCTTGTTTTGCCGGCGCCCTTGCATATGACGTATAGGCCTAATAGGTGTGTCTCAAATGACGTCACTTCCTACATATTGACAGGTGCCTCAACATTTCTAACTTCAATTTTTTTTGACGCGCATCAGCTGCGTCGTACATGTATTTCCAACATAAGTATTTGGACTAAGCACGCACGCGAGTTCGGAACATTTTCCACACCGCGCGCACACGCACTTGTTCGCGTTTAATGCGAAGCTGCATAGCAACCAATGAGAGAGAAGTAAAAGCAAAAGATGGTCTTTAGCCGCCAAAGAAAACTGTATATGGTTGTGTATTGTATATGGTTCCTTTAAACGCGTTTTAAACGCACGTTGAAAATCGGCAAAGCACGTGCATATTTTATTCCCTTACTTAATATAAGGCATGTTCCCTTGGTATGTCTACAGTTAACTGAACCTCGATTGAAACAATAACTTTGCATATTCTAGGATTTGGTTCCCATGTATCTGAGTATGCGTATAGGCCTACATGTGCTTTGAGTAAAATAGCACTGAGGCCTCAGGTAAGTTCAAAAGCATTTCAAACAGAATACTAATCGTCCCTTTTTTAACACTTGTCCTGTTTCCTTACAGCTTTCAATGTTGCGGGTGCAGATGACTGACAGGGATGGTGGTATTTTTAAAAACAACGTATATTTTAGCAAACAATCTGGAGCCGCTGGGATATCACGGTGTTACATAAGAAAGGCGTCTTGCTATCAGCAGTAATTTGAACGTTAAACCCACAACAATTTTAACCCTTTTTTGTTGTATATGGTGCAAAATTACCTGCCAATCTATATTCACCCAACTGTCTACGAAACATCTAACCTCCAGGGAAGAGGCAGAACTGTGCCCCGACAGAAGTGACATGCATGGCAGGTGCGGTTAGAGCGGGTATCATAGAGGGTTTGCATGGCTGCGATCTTTCGGGCAAGTGCTTTTGTTCCACAAGGCATATGCTTAAAGGAAGCTCCCCGTGGAACAAAAATGCTGCCCTGCAAGATATGCTTCCACGCAAAGCCTATACACGTGGTAACAGTTAGCCAACCATTTTGACGCTGCTGTTTTACAATCGAAAATGTTCGCACCAGAGTCTTCCTGGTAAATATAGTCCAGAGAGTATATTGCCTATTCTTGAAGCAAGTTTATTTACACATATATGGCACACTAACTACACATAGTATATATTAATTAACATGTAAAATATTCATAACAATAAATTAACGAGCTTTGAAGTTTTTCGTAGTGAAGGTGAAAGTTTAATAAAAGGTGAAGGTAGCATCGTGTAAAAATTATCAGTTTGTGAGTTAGTGCAGAACTGAAAAGAACCGGGGGGGTACTTAACGTTTCAGACAGTAGGGCCCACACCTCTTTCCGTCGTCGGGAGACAGCTTGTCCGCTGTCAGGCAGTCAATCTCCTGACGACAGACATAGCACACTGCCCGAATGTTGAGTGCCCTCCGGTTCGTTTCAGAATACTTACAAAAGGTATAATTTGACATGGTTCTACAGCAAACCTCATAACAATAAAATGTCAGTTCGAACCTATTTGACCAACCATCGCACAGACCTGGTCCGTCCTGTGCTTGACCTTCTTCTAACCACTGAATTTAAAAGACCCCCATTCAGTACATCTGAGATTTTAGACATTACCGTAACGGTCCCGTTGTCGCTTGGGACCTTACGTCAGTTGGAAAAGTCAATATTTTGGCTGGGCTGACTTGGAGAAAATACATCATGTATGTCATGAATAACCGCTGCATCGGCGTTAATTCTCTTTGTTGGTCCAGTAAAGTCTTAAGCAAGTGTCTTTGCAAGTGAGGGGTATAAGGTAATTATAACGACTGCGCCCTTTAAATTAAGTCACGTGACCTATAGTGGGAATAAAACACCAACAAACATGGCGTCCTCCCACAGCAAAGTGTATCATAAGTGTCATTTACAAAATAAAGCCGACGGTCGGTACAGTACTGAAACTACTGATTACTATCCCGAATATTGGCTTTATTTTGGGTAAATTACACTTCAAACACACGTCTGGAGAATGTCTGTTGATGTTTGATACCAAATATAGACGCTGTCATGCGACATAGCGGGCGTAATCAGTCGATGTGTGTTATTGGATTGGGTAATAAGGTTGTTACATAATAACTGATTAACAGCACTTTTGATTACCAGATAGACACACTGTTAATTATTCTTGTGGGTTTTACCTGTAAACGACTGTTTAAACCCTAACAGAGAAGGCAGAATCCACCTTTGCTGGCACTTTCCTTGCCGAGCCGCTAGAAGATTTACAAAAAATAAAATGTATTACCATCTTTTTGGCAACACCAATTTTCAGACATCTCGTTCCACAAAGCAATCGTATATAATGAATAGCTTGGACACAAACGTCAAGACCCTTGCAATGCACCCTAAATCGGCCCAGAAAACAGACGCATGTGTTATTTATTCAGGCGTAATTATTTGTTTGTAAAAAAAACCTTATGTATATATCAAGAATATCCAGTCAAACCACCCAAGAATGTTTGCAATGAAATATCTTGGACAATAGAATGGTTATTGGTAAATTGTAAATTTTACAAATTCATGTATAAATGTATTATCTATATTTATCGGATCAAAATGCGATTTTTGTAATATGTAATATATACAGAGTAAAATTGTGTACTAAAGCATTAAAGTTTATATTTTCAAACAGCGAATAATGAATATCGTAACCTTCCTATGCAAGTGTAAAATGCGTAAGAAGTTGTCATTTCAGTCAAAATCAGTCAAGTTATTGTTAAAACTGCTGTGTGTACAAGAAATGGGTAGACTCTTGGTGACTCTTGTGGTAAGTGTGTCTGCGTGGTTCGACTGTGTGTGATTGTTAGGGCTGCTGGGAGTGTCACATATCAGCTGAGTGTTCATGACTAGATGGAGTGCTATTTGTAGTTGCTGAGTGGCTGGTACTGATTGATATAAACGTGGCCCTCACTGATTGTGCAGACGATTTGAAGAATGGATGAGCTATGAGTGTATGGAAATGAAAAAAAAAAACCACACCCATCTTGTATATGTGTGGACTTCCCTTTGCATTGTGTGCTGAATATAAAATGGAATATTCTAACATATATAGGGGAATGCTCAAAATGCTTTGTAACATTACTTAAAATAATAGCAGAATCAAAGATAATAACAATGATCAATTTTTGTGAGTTACATTTTCCGTGATATTATATACGGTAATGCCAAAAGTTAACAAAAGGAACAGAAGGTATAATTGGGGATGAGGAGGAGGACGACGAATAGTAATGTCTGTACCAAGAGCACAGAAGACTTTTCATCAGGGCCAGAATTTAAATCTGGAGAATCATCAACAGAACTTGATGAAGAAGAGAAGGCACCCAGGAAATCTCGTGGAAGAAGACCAAAGCGAGTTTACCTAGGATCTGAAGACGACCCAGATAAACCCACTCTCCATCAGCCACCGCAGTACAGGCAAGACAAATACGGCAGGACCAGAGACCTCACCGAGTTCCATGTCAGGGGCAAGGGGTAAGAAGTTCAGCCCAACTTTTGAACGGTCATTAGACGATAATCCAGTGACCTACTTCTTGCAGCCTTTTTTCGGAGATGTTCAAGAAAATTGACAGGTGGAACAACATCAATGAGGGGTTCTAATCCCCGCTTCTAAGGAAGCGTATTAAGGGTCACTTGCAAAAGATTTTTCGAGTTACTATCTCCTCGCAACGAGTTACTATCTCCCCGCAACGAGTTACTATCTTCCCCCAACGAGTTACTATCTCGCCGCAGTGAGTTAAATCGTTGAAAGTGTATCTCATCGTGGCGAGTTATACGATCTTGCTGCGGCGTCAAATTAAAATCCCGCCGCTTCAAGTACTTCAGTAGTTTCATAAATCTTATTTAGCGTGTCGTCGTTCCCATCAAATGCATAATCAGTGTGGAATGCTGTGAATTGGGTTACAGATTGCTTTAAACAAAGCTTAATTTAATCAAGCTTGATTTCCAACACAGAAGAAAACAAAAGAAATATCTTTTTCTGGGTATGAATTTCCATATTCGGAAACACTTCTTTGACTCCATAGTGGACTGCTTGTATTAAAGGATTGCAGTGCCTTTTCATTTAAACTTATATAAATAATCCTATTTACATAAGCGCCACGAGGGGGACCCTGAAAAGAACAAAGAAAAAGAAAACAGCCAAAGAAATGAAAATTAGAAATGAAATATAATATAATTATTTACTTGAGAAAAAAAGTAAGATGGACCCCCTCCCGCAGTAGGAGATTTTCCACAGGCAAAAAGAAAAATGAATTGAAGGCGAAAGGTAAACTAACACGTTTTCATCAACTGGATTGAAACCCCC